GCTGGAGTCCCACACAAACCAGAGCGACAGACCACCAGCTCTGGGAGTGCATAAAAGAGCATTTCCCAAACCTCACCGAAAAAAAACACACTGGCTTACTCTACTCTTATTAGGACCAAAGAAGAACTAAACAATATGACTCTACATTTTATAATATTGTGTGAAAGTGTGTTTTATCTCCAAATCCGGAAGAACTATCGACAAAACCTGTTATCACCTTCTATTCTTTTATTTATGTTTTTCCATTTAGTTGAATTGTATATTTCATTTATCCTTTGCTTTATGATTGGTTCGAAAAATGACCTTGGATAGTTGTTTATTAATAATATATTGTCACTTCTTATTTATCCTTTGCTTTATGATTGGTTCGAAAAATGACATGACATGGCATCACAATGACAAAAAATGAATAGTTGTTTATTAATTATTTTATTAATAATTATTATTATTTTCACTTCTGTGTTGAATGATCAAACTGATCATTCAACAGTGTGGTCGGACCAATTCAAAAATGTATTTTAATCTATTTTTTTGTATGTTTAGTGCATGCTTTTAACAATAAAAAAAAAGTTGACCTTTTATTTTTGACTGATATTCACTGTTTGCAGCACAGTTTGATTGGTGCTTTTGGGGTGGTTTCTTGTGCAAAAAGGTTGACGATTCTTTTCCTGTATACGATATCTCCCAAGGTACTTATGGTATCCTTTTTTAACGCGATTGACGAGGACGTGATATGTTGATTGTCCGAAGCGATTGGCCTTAAATTATATCGAGGGTATAAAAATCGTTTGAATTATATACACACTATATACGAAACTAGTTTCATTGAATAGAATGCTACAGTTTTCCTATGCGCTTTTAGGAACTTAATCCTGCCCCAGTTCATATGCATAATAAATCCATTAAGATGGTTACGTTTTTATTACCTATATACCCCGATTGTCGCATTATGAAGGTACATCTACATCACGTTTGAACATGTCATTTAATGATCAAAAACCGGTCTTGGCTTGTCAAACATTAATTTCCCATTTCATCAAAGCAAATTTCCAGTGATAATTCAACAATGACT